TTTTTTTTTTTTTTTTTGCTTTGCCTTTTTTTTTGAATAACCCCCTTTCTCACTTGCTCCTGTACGCATTGGTTTTATTTTTGAAAGGATAGCTAGACTTAAGTCACCCTCCACCTCCATTTAAACCTGCTACTTATTTTTTAATTATTATTATTATGAATTCCTCGTTTTGAGCGTTACACTTGTCTGATCAATTTGATCTCCAGCTCTGTCTTCCGTTGCTAAACCTCGAAAACTGGCTCTCTCAAAAGATATTTAATCTATTTTTTTTTTGTCCATTGCCATTTTTGCTCATGGCTACTCTGTTTCTCGCTATCTATTTTTGCCCCTCCCCGCCTAGAGGAAAATAGCAACAAGAAAAAAAAAGAAAAATAAGAGAATATTAGGGGAAGTAGTCCTCAGGTCTGCTGCCCCCCCCGCGCCCCCCTCCAGAAAGGGGGGGGACCTAAAAAACATCAGTCTTGAACTTCTTCCTCTTCAAGAGCTCGGGCTGCAAAGGAAACCTCCTTTGTTTTTGTTATTTATATGCTGTCAAGTTTTGAAGTGGTGAGTTTCGGGTCGGTTTTGCTAATTTCACTCAGAAAACTGCAGTGTTTCTGTTTCTAGATAAGTACTTTGCTTCTTTGTCTCTTTAAAAGGTCACAGGGAAAGCTTGGCCTGGATTGTGAGAGCCATATGGAACGGATAAGTGCGGAGCCTCTCTCAAATGTGATTATGGGTTTTTATGGGGGAGGGAGGGAAGAGGAGGGGAAAGGCATGGGGAGGGGGCTGATTCAGGAGGAGAGAAAGAAATAATATAATACCGGCAGCGTTACATCGCGACAAAAGGAGATACCGCACCGACTCTCATTCAGAAATTGCGCGGTGTGCCCGTACGTGTACGCTGGCTCTGGGAAACTGTGCCTTGAAATTGTGCTCTTCTCGCAATGCTCTGTGATGAAAACTTGTAGTTGTGAAAGATGCTTAAATGCAAAACCCAGGGAAACTCTTGGCCTGGTACCGGCGGAGATGATAGTTCTTCCCTTGCAACCCTCTCCCTGGGCAGGCCATGCTGGTTGTTGCTCATCACTATTCCAAACTGAGGTTTCAGTGAACTTTAGCCTTGGGCATGGAGTTTAAATGAGTAAATTAGGTGTTTTATGTGCATGTAATTTTGCTTTGTAACATAAAGCTTTTTACAAGATGACTAAGCGGTGAAAGGATGCCGATGGGTGGGTATTCTCAGGCCAAGCAAAAATGACCCATTTGGTGTTTTGGTTGTAGTCAGTGTATTAACTAAGTGGTGATCTATCACTTTTATTCACTGTACGTGATATAGTGCGATTCTGACTCATGATGACTAGATACTTTTTGTAGCAAAGAACCTTGGTGCCTTAGAGTACTTCTGAAGTTGCCAAAAGTGATGAGGAATTTCTTGTTCGAGGCTTTTTTTGGTGTGTTTTCTTTTACTGTTTCCCCTCCCTCTTTTTTTCTTTTTTTTTTTTTTTTTTTTAATCCTCTTATTCTTGAGGGAGATCAATCTCAGAAAAGCAGCCCTGTAGTATGTTAGCATCATCAGAAACATCGGAAGATGTTAACAGTTTGAGTCTGTAATTTTTTTGCTTAGGGTGCACTTAACACAGAAAAAATCTTTTTGAAAAGTGGCTAAAATAGACATGTTTACTGTTAATGAGACGCGCGACCTAAAACAGATGGGATAAAGATGAATGGTAAACCTTAGCCTGTCACCTTACAGCATAAGGAAAAATAGCGATTGTCTGAACTTCAGCTATTCGGTGGCATTCTTGAGGTTGCTTGTAAATGTTCGAATTAATACAGTACCTCTTTCTCCACTGTATCGGGAAAAGCAGCATGATGTTCAAACAAGAAAAAAATAGTTTACAGAATTGTTGTTGGCATGTATACCAGCCACACAGAAGTATGTATAAAAAAAATTACAAGATGTTTAGGCTCTAACAGCTTTGCTATGAAATGTGCAGAAAATGTATTGAATTACTAGGCAACTGAAAGAAAGTAGCAATTACCAGATTCACACCAGTCTTTCTAAATATGACTTTCCCAGTATTAGTATTTGTGCTTCTAGTGTAAATACTAGTTCATAAATTAATGTCTACTCACCTGTCCTTATTGATTGAATTATATATATAACATATATATTCTGTGTAGTCACACCTTTCTCAGTCAGAGAAAGGTGGGGTAAAATACCTAACAATCACAATAGTACTGATGAATGAAATCATAACCAGAAAGATGCCTCTGCTCTCAGCATGGGGTTTTATTTTATTTTAATATAGTTGGCAAAACAGATTCTGATGATTGACAAAAAATCCTCAAAACTTACTCTGTTGTGTTCTAGGCTTGGGAGATTTTTAGTGATTTAACTGTAATTGTTATTCATGGCTGGAGGTTTCAAAAGTTTATAAAAAGGGAAATACAAGCCTGTTAACATATACCTTTTCTGAAATTGCTATTGAAATTCTGGGTTTTTTTGGTTTCAAATAGCTGTGCCAGCATGTAACTTGGCATCACCCAGGTTTTGAGGGGTTTCTTATATTTAAGAGCTTCAAAAGTACTGTAGAAATTGTGGTTTTCTTTCCCCCAGCTTTATCTTTGGGATGATACTTGTCAGTTATTTTTCAATAAACTACTCCACTTAGCACTTAAAGCTTAACATCCGAAAAATTGCATATTTTGAACTTTGCAAAAGTTGATAAACTCTTTGTATAATATTGGTTAGGAAACTAGAAAGCAACCATCTCCCGCTACTGCTTTCTGAAGTTAAATGTTGAATTCTTTCAGACTTCTATTTTTAATGGGGGGGGGGGGAAGAAATGTAAATGGACAATATTCTACATCTCTAATAAATCTGTTGCTCCTTCAACTAAAGTTTTAACAGTCTTTCTATTGTTCAGGTTTTTAATCAAGTAAATCAAGTAATGTTTCATTAGAATCTTTTTCTTTCTCTCTCATTCTCTCCCCACAATAAAAATACCCGCGATTAATAAAAAACCTTTCTGTGAGATTTGTAACAATAGCTGTGTTGGAGCACATACCTTGACAGTCATCATCATTTATATGAGTCTTAGTCTCTCTCAGATTTAGTAGAATATCTCTGAAGATTTTTTTTTTTAAGAGGTACTCTAGTTGGCTTTTAAAAAATAATTCTACCAGATTATGATATGATCTCTCTGTAAACTGGGGTATGAGGTCTTTTTTGGAGAATAAGTTTGTTTCTTTTAAAAAAGGCATTTATTTCCAGTTAAAATAGTTATCTATTCCTCTTTATGAGCTTATGGTACATATATATCTCTCTGTACATGTGCAGGCTGTGTACGTATACATATGCGCACACGTGTACAACATATATATATTTTTTTTTTTGAATCATGGCAGGTGATCTTTAGAGGCGGGACTGAGTATGGATCATTTGAACGAGGCAACTCAGGGGAAAGAACATTCAGAAATGTCTAACAATGTAAGCGATCCGAAGGGTCCACCAGCCAAAATTGCGCGCTTGGAACAGAATGGGAGCCCATTAGGAAGAGGAAGACTTGGAAGTACAGGAACTAAAATGCAAGGAGTGCCTTTAAAACACTCTGGACACCTGATGAAAACTAATATTAGAAAAGGTAACACTTTTGATAATTCTGCATTAGAAAATATGATTTATAATATTTGTGGGGGAAGCATACTTTTTGGAAACTCTACTTCATTTGTATTTCAGGATTAAATCTCCATTCTAAAATACTATATATTCCCAATTCTGATATAAATCACATTTGGGAAATGTAAGCTTCATGCTTGGGTGGAGCATCTTGCTCTTCAGGGTGGAGTCTGATTTTTGTTAAGGTAAAGGCTAGCTGCTTTGATTAAAGGAAATTTTTTCATTGAAATATAAGTAATACACTATATTAATTCTTTGAGTAAGTGTTGGGCTAAGAATCGCAAAAATATGTAAGAGTAAATACCGAACCCCCAAAACAAATTCTCGCTTTTCCTCTTAATGATGGTCCTAGGATTGGAAGGGCAGCAGTATTTCCATAACAGTTGCAAGTTGGTTTAAAGGAGAGAGTGTAAATCTTTAGGTATCACATTGGAAAAGTCATTTATGATGTCAATCTTCGCAGTTTATTTTCTTAAGTACAATTCATTATTGAACAATGAACAACTTGGGTGTCATATTTTTCAGTGGCTGGTTTGCTGTAATTAGACATTTACAGAAGGAAAAGGCACATTTGGAATCATTGATGTTTGTATATGGATGGCTTTTGTTTGCATTGAAAATACTTTTAATGGTCAATAATGTATAAATCTTGTTTATCAAAATGTGTAAGTCTTTTTGACCATGTCCTGTGGGCTTGCTAATTTAAATCAAAATATGCTGCATGTAATTTGGCATATTTCTTAAAACAGCCTCTACTTTTTCTAGTATAATTGGTTATGTTTATAATCAAAATTTTTCTTGTATTTTCTAAGCAAAGTGCAAAATGCAACCAAGACTATTAAATGCGCAAAGTTAGAAGGCAGAGGAATTTCATTGTGTCTGATGCATAACATTTATCGTACAATCATTTATTTTTTCCTCGGTTTGGCGAAAACAAAGAATATATTGATCCTGAAATGAACAGACACAGCAGTCCGTATTGTTAGATCTTTATCTATTAAAAATGGAAAAACAGCACTTCAGCAAATTCTTTGGCCTCTGCTCATGATTACCCTATTTATTGATTGTTTGCCAAGAATGTATGCATCTTAAGAAAGCCAGGGTAAGAGCATTAAAAATATAATTTATTACGGCTTTTCAAGCAGAGTGCATTAACATTGTACAGTGAGGCAGTGGAGCTGTATAAAAAGGACTTTCTGACGCCTGCAAACATATAAGTTCCATAAATTCCTAAATAGGAGATTTCAGCTGTCTCTGGTATTATGTGATATTTGCACAGCAAACTTTAATGCCAGGACAGTTTTAGACAAGGATTCTACAGACTTCACTGCTCCTTATGGCAGACGTGCTGTTTACACAGACTCGTAAACCTTCAGCAAAAGCTCTAACACTGCCTTCAGGTTTAAATCATGCTGTATTTTTAGCAGGGAGCACTGACCAATGCTCTCCCCTTTAATACTAGAAGGTTATGAAGTTGCTGCACTTGGAGGTCTTGCCAAGTACTAGCAGGAGCAATCAGCCAGCTGAGATTGTGCTCTCCTGTATAACATTTTTCAGATTAACAGAAGGACACTAGTGACAGTTTGCTAAAAGATTTAGTGACTTGATTTGTAGTCAGATGATACCTGTGTCGCACTACCAGGATCCACCTTGGATAATCTACACTCCGCATCAAAATTTGGCCGTGAGGGTCTCCCGTGTTGTTTAAAGTACCATGTTTTCCAGAATGCTGCAACTCAGGAGACCTTGTACCTGGCAAAAAGTGTGCTGATAGGCAGTAAAGTACCTGTGTGTTGTTAGTTTTGTGTCTGATCATAGCTTAATTTGTAGGAACTGATAAGGGGAAAAACAAATACGCTTTATCTGGTTTTGAGTGTATCTGCATTGTTTGTTAAAATGAAGCTTTGCTTATGCTTTATCTTCAGGAATTACTGGTGAAACTACTTAAGAATTTTGAGCCCTTACTCTGAGTCAGACGGTAGTAGGTGAAACATCAATTGTGAGAGCCTGGAAGGAAAAAAAAAAAACCAAAAAAACCCCCAACAAACCACCACCTTTTTACAGATGAAGTGTGTTTGTCCACAGCTTAATTAAAACCAGTGAAGAAATCATCAGTTTGCATGTACTGATTTTGCTTTGGTCTTTTCTCCCTTCCTGACCAGTTTCACTCACATTTTAAAAAAAACAGCAAAAAAAAAGCAAACAAAAAAACAAACCCACAAAAAACAAACCAAGACAAAAAAAAAAAACCTCCTTCCTGCACTACATAAATATTGGCAAGCTTTTAGTCTTGTCTTTCATGCTGAGCCTATTGGGCAAACTGGAGTGAGTTTGTGAGCTTTTCCAAGCAAGCCTGAAGGGGTTTGTTTGCCAGAGATTGACTCTCTGGTGAACAGATGTAGTTTAAATATACGTGCTTAAGATGTATCTTTTTTTATTGTGATTCCTTGCTATACATTAGAGCACAAATCAACAGACGTCTTAAAGCATTTATCTATTGTCAAGAGTAAATCTTCCTTTTAGACTACAGCGTGTCTGGTGCACCTTAGCAGGTTAGGAGGTTTCTGTAAGTCTAGAGGGCAGTGGTTATAGAGGCATTAACATTGTAGGACTAATTGGAGTTCCTGGGTGCCCTGTTAAAATAACCCTTGTCATCATTTATGCTAAAGATGATCCCCCTCTGGCAGGCTGCCATAAGACAGTTCTGTACATCTGCTTTTAACCCTTTTGCTTTCTGTCATTAAGGGTTTCTAACCTGCACTGCTGGAGACAGCGGAACGGGATTGGGGCCTAAAACCATGGGTCCGGGGTCATCATGTCATCTGTGTCCATCTGGGAGGGCGGGAGGGATTTTCAGGAAGTCAAGGAATCTGATTGCTGGGAGATACTTTGTCCCTAAAACAGCTTGGGTCATTTGTTACTTCTTTGTCTGTTGTCAAAAGGAAGGAAAAAAAATGGTTATTAAAAAAAAGAAAAAGGAAAGAGAAAAGGTTGTTTGCTTATTATTCTTTGCAGCATATGGAAGGGTTTGTCATATGATGCTACAAAATTGGAAATTAGTAATTAACTTTCAGGCATGCCAAAATAGAATTGTGGGATGTAAAGTGCAGGAGACAACAACAACCAAAAAAAAAGCCCGAACGGCAGGTACACTTCTTAAAGCGGCACTAAAATCATGATTTGTTTCTTAAAGATACGAGTGAAAGTAGTGCTCAAGTGCACTCAGTGAATGAAGCACGAATTAGTGTTAACTTTTGCCTTGTTTCCTTGTGTGCTCTTTTCAGAGGGAATGTATAACATACAAGGTGATTTGTTGTTGATGTTGAAAGCAATTAAATATTTTTGGCAGGACTGAGAAAGTTTTAATGTTAACGAACAAAATTATGTAGCTGGTACTAAAATGGCTTACAGTGAAGACATCTGCAGTATGTATTTAGGTTCTCATGCTGCCTGCTACTCACAACAAATCAGGCAGGACAGAGAGAATCAACTTCTCTTCAGTCAACCTTGTTATTTCTATAGAAGGTAATTCTTTAAATCTTTATCCGATCAAGCGAGATAAATTTGCATTTCTGCTTTTCAGAAAGATGTATGTTTTGTAGAACTTTCTTTTTTTTGAAGAGGGTGAGGGGAAAGGACTCAGGGAATATGTTTATCAAATATTTGTGATGATTCTTGATGCCTCCTCTGCCTGTTCGTACAGGTTTTATTTACATAACGCTGTGTAGACCCACCTACTCTACTATAACTCAAGTTTAATATGTTAAATTTAATTTTTTTTAATAGGAAGTATGCTTCCAGTTTTCTGTGTAGTGGAACATTATGAAAATGCCATTGAGTATGATTCTAAGGAGGAGCATGCAGAATTTGTGTTGGTGAGGAAGGATATGCTTTTCAACCAGCTGATTGAAATGGCTTTGCTATCTCTTGGATATTCTCACAGCTCTGCTGCCCAAGCAAAAGGTAAATAAGATTATGAAATTGTACGATGAATTATGTTTGTTTGTGAGGTCTTGGGGGAGGGGCAGGATTTCTTTCAGGAATGCGATGCAGGTTTCACTTCTTAAACTTCTTGCAGATTCTGTCTCTGTATTTTTTTTTCCTTAACATGTTTTTGTTTAGTTAGTGCACGTTTTGTTCATGGGGACTGTGGAGGTAAATTCCCTTTTTTTTTTTTTGTTTTGTTTAAAGAAGAAAAAAGACTTCAACTGAATCATTAGTATGCTTATTGACCTTAATAATCTGCTCCACTGAGGATCCACAAGGAAGTGTAAAGCATATTTGAGCAGATGGACTGTTGAGAGTCAACTTGCATTTATGACTGAATATCCAGCTCTGTTTCTTTTATTTTGTTCCTGGTGGTTTTATAGACTGCAAAGTAATTTTTTTTGTGCTCAGTCCTTGCATTGCAAAATCCTTTCTAATTTATTAAGAGGAATGCTAACTATCATGTCCTATTGAATTCATGGGAACTTAGGAAAATATACTTCTGTGCATATTTAAAAAAATCTCTACTGTAATGCATTTGTATAATTTCATAAATAAAGCATA